TGAATATCTCTCAAGTCGTTTTGATAGGGGAATCCGGTTCCACTGACCAGCTTACTGAGTTTGCTGGGTGTCTCATTCATTGTGTATTTGGCCTCCAAACATTAGGTCTGACATCTACTAACACATCGTTGTTGATAACGATATGGAAATAAAAGACTAGAACTGCATTGTCGCTCTTACCTAGTGGTGGCAAATGACCGAGATTTGAGATATCATTCTCATAATTGGCTAATATGAGATCCAGTAAGGATGGTTAGGATTCCGCATCATACATAGTCACTTCTTTTATATGTTGTACTAGGGCACTTGTAATAACCGCATCAGCTGATTTCGGTTTTGAAAGAAGTTTCTGACAGTTTGGTCCTTAGATTTTCCCAGTATACCAAAGGTGTATTAAAGCCTCCCAAAATTAGACATCGGCTACCTAAAGGTCAAGTCTGAAGCTTGATTAACAAGACACCATTCACCTCGCAGTTTGGGCTGCAACAAACTAAGCCAACCAGCAGCTCTTATCTTTCGCACATCAAGTGGTACATGTCGATAATGATAAATTCATCCGTTTGTTGAATAGAGTGCCAATTACTTCACATTTACTGCAACCTGTTTGCTTGGAGTATTTTACAACATTCTGGATAGCAGCGTAGAATGACACATCGAACATGTCAGTATTTTGGAATAATCCGTTCCAATAAGACACTTTGATTGCCCACTGTATCGGTTATATCTCCCCACTTCATCATTCCCATCACATTTTGACCATGATGTTCTTCTGCTGAGAGATGCTTTTGCTGGCGATGTCTCCATACTCATACTTCCAAAATATGTTTAAATGAAGGCGAAACACATGACCATTCTGTTGGCTGCTGTAGTTAGTTAATTGCTGTAACTGCATGAGGTAAGTGCAGGTCATCTTAGTAGCTTCAATTTAGACTACCTCTCTTGAATGTGTACTGCCACACGTTTGTTTACATTATTTTGTTGTGGTTGATTGATATTTAGCCTAAATTCATGCAGTAACCTCGTTAAACTTCTGTAAAATTTCGATTGATGGCAACACATGATTCTTGGCTGAAATCCGTCTGTAGGGTTCTTCATTACGTTTCTCATTATTTGAATGAAAATGACAGTTAACTGTAGATAAACTGAATTAAACAGATGATCGAGGGTTGTGACGGCGACAAAAACTCATCTACATGCATTTGGCTTCGTTTATGTGGGACTTTTGCTCACTCTTTACAGATCGGGCTAACCTAATAACTTGGTTATCAGAAATATCACTTGACTACGAGCTTCTAAAGACCTTAATCATTACGGTCTTAACTCAGTACATTACAGATCTCGTCAGATATGACCTACGATGCTCTGTTGACCTGGACCTATTCCTCGTGATGCTAATTAGATAAAGTAGCTTTCACCTGTAGGGAGAACTGGTCTCATTTTCAGAACCCCATTCACGGTGGGAAATCCTTGGCGACTCTAGGGAACATGCACCCTATGTACATGACTGTCTGGATCACAGCTTGTATCAAGCGCGTTCCATATGACCTTTCCCAACAAATTCACTATTGATCTGGGCAAATCGCCCAAATAGCCTATTGTGCACCTTCCTTATTTGTACTCTACTATTGAAAATCTGGCTGTATTATACTGTTTCTGTCAGTGACATGGTGTAAATATGCTATCGGAAACTGACTCTTATACTTAATTTAACTGCTATAACTTTACAGTAATTGTGAAAGCATTTGTGACAATTTGATCTAGCCTGTAAACTGGCGTGACTCTTGTAACGTAGTTATTTGAGAATAAATATATTATTATTGCTATGGTTTTTCAAAAAGGTAAACTTCCCTCTCGTAACATATGGAAAGAAGGCACGAAGGCGATCAAAAAATCACTCATATACACCATTAGAGGAGGAATAGAGGCAACCCCAGTAATTATGAAACCAATTAACTCAGTATTTTTATACCTTGGATATCCTTAAAGGAAAAAACAGGCATCTCTAGATAAACGGGGAGATTAGATATTTACCAGGATGAAAATAACGTTAGGACGTCAGCGAAGTCTTGGAACAAAAAATGGGATGGAACGTTACAAAACGATCCATAATAATGCACCATCTGTGCATTTCATCGGAGACATGAAAGTTAGTTAGAGTAAATTACAATCAAACAACCGAGGTGATCACTGCCGGACATAATTTACGGAGTATGGACGCACCCATGGATCTGAAGTTTAATTACGCATGATAATGCACTATTGATGATAAAGTAAGGCCAAAACGAAGCAACAATCCCGGTTAATTACTTCTTGACAGTTAGAATTTATGAATCGACCCTCGACAAAGATCGGCTACCAAAATCAATGAAATCAAATTTGTTTCTGACTGTGGGTTTTATCCAAGATTACATACCATACTGAAAACTGTCCAGAAACGGATGAATTGCATTTGAAGTTCCGGATGCATTACCACGTCATGAAATCAGTGGGTGTTATCTACGTTGACCATTTTAATGTTCACTATAGTTTATGAAATCTTACTGAGAGTGAGACCTGAAGCCTTCAGTTAGTTTGCAAGCTCTTTTAAAATGGTGACCTGAATTACTTGGAACAAAAGGCGACTTTTCATGTATTTCCATGACTTTGAGGCTTACCACACACAGGGTAACTTGAGAAGGTATAAATATCTGCTCCGTATTATTGCAGCCTAAAAAGTGTTTCTGACCGGAATATTCTTATTTTTTCCCAGGTACAGTACGCTTATTTGTTGCCAATAAATTTTATTCTTCAATACTTTATTTTGTACGGGAGAAATCTTTGTTTTTATAGCATAGTCTGCACCGTTCGAGGTTCGTATAATTCCGTTTTCGTTATGTATAAATTCTACTTTGGTTTGTTTTTGACGTACGGATAACTAATGCAATAGACCCAGAATGAGGAGTAAAAAATTCATATCATCCACCAGAGTTTATCCGCAAGATACGAGTAATCAACGGAAATATGTTATTCTAACAATTTATGTAACAAGGTCTACAAGAAACCTTCACTTTTGGGTTCCTTGAGTGAATTCTCAAAATAGTAAACTAAAAGATTGAAACTAAAAACGACCAAGGCCAAAGTTGTGGGCAAAGAACTTCAGTTTTTGAGTAAAACAAATGAATTCAAAGCCCAGAAGATATAATGAAATGATAATAGTTGATAGTTAAGCACTAAAAGATCCCCTCGTAACAGTTTTAATTTTTTTCTCCTATTTGGAACCAGTTAAATTGGACACGGAGTTTGTATTTTAATCTTTTGTGATGCGAATCACTGAAAAAGGTTTGGGCGCTAAACCGAAGAGCTCAGTTTGGCCTAGCCAAGTAAACTTTTGTTCGTTGGCTCTGCGCTCGGACCAAATTTCGGAAACTTTGTTATGTTTCTAGTTTCATCTTGAAGAACTCCATGGAAGGCGCTTGTATCAATTCTGGGGGTTCTAAGATTTGGTTAAACGTTGAGAGGTGATACGCCTACAATTCAGTTCGCTTTTTTGCATTTCTGACTTTTGAATGTTCCCTATAGGTTTCGTCGTAAAAGTGAAATCAAGTGACTGTTTAGAGAATGTCTAGGAATGATCGTAATATTGTATATTATGATGAAGTTGAGGTGGTATTAGTTACTAACTCTAGGATCTTTTGATTCAAACATACAAAAATTTGCATGACTTACACCCAATGTTTAATTCGTGAAGAAGATTAGAAGTGGTGATGTCGTCACTTAATGTAACTCCTTCGTCCTTATATCAAATATATCATTCCGTCCAATGACCAGCTGTATTTTTTAGGGTTCATAAAATTTATATCACTATGACAATGAGAGGAGTCAGTATAGACAATGACGTAGATTCTACGTAAAACCTTTTAGATTATGTAGCCACATAGTGTCACGTCTACAGTTTGGGAATAGGTCTATCATTCCAGTAGTATAGACTGTGCACAAATATTGACGTCGACCGAAATCATACAGTTATCAGCTGGTAGTTGGACAGTTCATTATGTCCGTCTCTTCCGAAGATTATACTTATGTGTTGACATCCACGTCTTAGGAACCGTGTCCTAGCTTTAAAGGATTTTAGGATTTTAGCACTGCGGCTGTATAGAGAAGTTAAACTCTCTCATTGGGCTAGCATGTATGAACTGTTTTGATTTCTCTACGTCATTCGATTGGGTAGACTGACGTATTCTGTTTCGGATTCCGCATTCATTAAGGTTTGAATGAGCATCTAACGAGATGACTTTTATATTATTTAAGTGGGCGACCACAAGACATTAGCATACTTCCTACTTTAATTGATGAGAAGCAGGCTGCTACAAAGTTCAGTCCTATTCTTCTTATTTAATAATGATCCGCTTAATTCATTAGACTGTTAAAATCTTTTTTACAATGAGGGAATTTATATTTAAAGGGAAATACTTGGCTTAGATGATATCTTAACATATCAAGAATACTTACATAAGATAAGTGACTGAGTTAATTGAAGTCTCGTTCTCTTCAATACCATTAATTGGAGAATTTCGATGGTGAACAGCAGTGGAACTCTTCCTCATTCTGATCGGTGTTATTATTACATGCTGAAGTGTTGTGAAGGGCCCGGTCATCATTACATAGTCTTTCCAGCGCCTCTTCTCATTGGGATTTGTATCTAGTAAAGTTTACTGGTTCTTAGGACTTCCCTATAGAAAATTATATAACCTGATTCAGCAGTTATTCTAAAATGTTTACACCGTTTACCCAAGTGAGAAACCCCTGAGTTATCTATCTGCCGCAGGAAAAGTAATGCTCTTATTGGACGTATGAAGTGATGAACAGCCAAAAATCTACTAGGTCTAAAAAATAAATCTTGGTTTATTGGTAGATTTACATTTGAAACCAGTACAGTATGATAAGATTGAGGGCACTTTGATGATTACATTCCGTAACTCTGTTCTTTATGTCAGAGAGTTTATATGTTATTACAGGACGAACAGAAACTACGGTAAATAGAGGTTTTTGGTATTTGCACTAAGTAGCATTTTACATGAAGCGTCTAAAACCAGCGTCTTGAAGTTGATAAAGACTTTAGGTAAATAAGAATTCAGACCTATTTAATGGTTTCAGACAGAGAGGCTTTTGTTTGTTTATTCTGTTCGGTGTCGAACGCCTCGACTGCCGCTCCTTCAATTATTTTGTCACGCTGGTTTCTGTCATTTCAAAATGACGGTTTCGGGGACTTTGTACACACCGGAAGGATATCATAGGTCTTGGAGGGCCCAAATTGCAGCCCAGTTTAGTGGCGCTACCTTAAAAATTGTGAATTTTATTCCTGGTGTGACTGACAAAGACCAGAAGTTCTTGGAAAAATTCCCTCCCGCAACTGTTCCGGTTTTTGAAGCTGATGATGGTACAAACCTTTTTGATGTAAATGCCATAGCTTATTGTTTGGGAACTGATTATTTGAGAGGTGAGTGACTCATCTTACAGTATTAATGTGACAGGCGGTAAAAATGCACACTTCGTCACACAGTGGGTGAATTATGCGGATAACAGCATTCTTCCGTCTGTTGCTACTTGGGTTTATCCTTGTCTTGGTATAACCCAGTTCAACAAAAGCAATACGGAAAAGGCTAAGGCCTGTATCTCGTCCGTGCTCAAGTTTTTGAATGAACAACTCAGTAAGATGTAGGTGCTTGACCCATACTTTTAATTAAATTAGGACATTCCTCGTGGGTGATCGTTTGTCTCAAGCTGACATTACTGTCTTTACGGCCTTACATCCATTATTTACTCATGTTTATGAGGAAAAGGAACGGAACTCTTATCCTCATGTTGTACGTTGGTATACAACTATCGCCAATCAACCAGAAGTTTTGAAGGTCGTTGGACAGTCAACGTTATGTGTTAAGGCTGCACAGTTCGATGCCAAGAAATATGCTGAACTGCATAAGAAAGTAGGTCTGAAATTACTCGATATCAAATGTTAGACCCCTGAGGCTAAACAACCAAAGGAATCAACAAAAGAAAAACGCAAAACTGAACATCCTAGTGAAAAAGCAAAGCCTGAAAATGTCGACGATGAACTCCCAAAACCAAGCAAAAATCCGCTTGCAGATCTCCCTGTCGGAAAGTTTGATTTGGATGCATTCAAGAGAGTGTACAGCAATATGGACATAGAAAAAGAAGCAATACCATATTTCTGGAGCAACTTTGACCCAGAAGCTTATTCTATCTGGTTTTGCGAGTATAAATATCCTGAAGAATTATCTTTTCTCTTCATGACTTCGAATTTGGTCGGAGGCTTTTTCCAACGAGCAGAAAAGTAGGTTTCAATATGTGAATATATTTACCCTTCAATGAAGTTGATTGATTTCATTAATAAGTAAAGGCATTCCACATATTATAATTACATTCAGGGTTCTTCAATTAATTTTTGCTATCCTACTGTAACTCTACCTTTTCCATACAGGATGTTAAGATATGCATTCAGTTGCATGTGCATATTTGGCGAGGATAAGAACAATACAATCAGCGGTGTTTGGGTGTGGCGAGGAACTGGTCTGATCTTCGAATTGGACAAAGATTTGCAAGTAGATTATGAGTCTTACGATTGGCGAAAGTTAGATCATAATTCAGAGGAAGATAAAGCTATTGTACATGACTACTTTACACGGAATTTCCAAAACAAGCCTTTTAGTCAGTTCAAATTATTTAGATGAACAATAAAGTGATTTACTTTTGTGGGTGAATAACTTTATCTTTTTGTTAACTGCTATTTTTGCGCGTACTGTCGTTATTATCGAGTCTCGATGCAATGTCAACATTTATATGTAGCTTAAGTTATTTTGATTAACGAACTCCACAAATCTAAATACTATCGCGTGCATTGTCAGTATGTATGTCATTAACTATCTCAGGCAACTTATTCTCCGCGTCTCCATGAATGTCATACACTTTCCTTTCGCAGCCTACCCTAGAATCGATTAACTGTTTAACGTTTTGTTCTACCAATATATCTATACTATTGGCTGTTTATTTAATGACAGTTATTGATTACAATAATTTTGCAACCCCTAAATATTTGTATGACATTTATTTATTCGTTGAACGATCACATGGCTGGTCATCTAAAGGCTGACTTCTATAAATTGATTTCTGCGTCAGAAACAGTAAGTTTCTAGGGTTTCATCAGATAGTTTTTTGTGTTTTATGCTGCTCAAGCTATAGTCGTGGCCAATCTCATCTCCACAAAAATGATGATAGTTATTGTAATCCAGTTGGCTAGTATTATGCACTAGATTTCAAGCAGGTCCTTTTGCATCTATGATTTATAGTTCCCGACCGTAGCTTCTACCTTGATGTGGTTGTGGGACTTGCCTATCGTGACGACCCAACCGAGCTATATTGGCTGGAACATATGTCCATTCAAGTCCTATCATGCTAGGCAGGTCGACTAGAGAACAGTAAGACTAGGAGAAGCTACTCAAGGTCTGAGGGCGAAGCGTCTGCAGCGACACTGCCTTCTCAAAAGGAAGGAGCGTTAGAAAAGGTCGACTTCAGAAATGTCACACCTCTCCCTGCCTCACGGGTTCCCGTCTCCGGCGATAAGGGCTACCCACTAAGGGTTTTTAAAAAGAGTGGAACTAATACTCAAAAAACTTTCCATAAAAAGGCCGTGCGTGACCGGCCTCAAGCAGTTGTCCCTTGGACTCTGCGGTCACGCTCCCAGGTCGTTAAGGTCAAAACTAATCTACCGTCCTTATTAGGTTTTTCAAGAAACACCCTTCCACGGTGTGGGCAGCCGGTGATTAACATCCGCCCTCATACCCGTAACAACAAGATCAAGTCGGTTACATTCAAATCCTTCCTACACCCAATAACATCCTCTTATCTTCACGACTAACCTTTCTCACATTACTTTATCACCCTGCACTTCTGCTGCAAACGATGCGAGTTCACGAAACGTTATTCCTGGTCTCCTTTGACCTCATTCTTAATCACATGTTGAAGCATTTAATGTACGGGTTGTGTCAAATAGGGCAACAGGCTTCATTAGCTAGGACGTCATCGATGTATGCTGCCTCTCGGGTATAAGAAAGACAGAAAGGAAACTCCTTAGAGTTCACCTAAAGATAGCAAAGACAAGATTATATTTCATGAGCAACTATAAAACCAGTTAAGCAGCCATGTTTGTGATGCCCACCTTGAGGCAGCCTGTAGTGATATCAAGAAAGCTGTGAAAACAGCAGTGATATCTACCAGTAAGGTAAACCATAAGGTTGGGTGAAAGCAGTGGACTTCACTCGCATCTACTGATTTGATAGAGGCTCATAACTTGATTCTGTCTGGCTCTGAACATGATGAGGAGCGTAGTTTGTTGAGACACAGGGTGACAAGGAGTCTGAACAACACCGTGGGCAGTGGTGGGTAGCGAAAGCAAGAGATGGAAACGGCAGCGGCGATAGGTAACAGTAGACAGCTGTTCAGACTTCTCAAGGGAACTGGTATTAGAAATTCGACTGGTGAGACCATCTCGGAAAAAGATGAGACTGCTATTTATTCTCAATCCGAGAAATAGGGTTGATGGGCAGAACACTTTAGGGAGCACTTCAACTGACCTACATACACACTTCCACTACCCGAAATCTCCAGTCCACCTGGATGTCAAGTCGGTTGGTGTAAGTTCTTCAACGAGGTTGAAAAGGCTATCAGCAATCTAAGGTGAGGGAGAGCAGCAGATCCCGATAGGTTAACTCCTGAGATTATTAAGTATGCTGGTCCAGTTCTAGCAGTTAGATTGACTGAGATTTTAGCTAGAAGTTGTGAATTAGATTCCATCCCATCTGACTGGTCTCAATCACTGATTGTCGCAGTGTAACTAATATAGCGTTCAAAATATCACCTTCAACAATACTTAGACGCCTAACCAGAGCTCGTGAAGAACAGACTTGTGAAATCCAGGCTGGTTTCAACCTGGACATGAATGTATAGATCAAGTATTCACACGCCGTCATATTCTAGAACACAGGCACACATTCAGACGACTTCAAGGCGGCACTTGACTCTGTTGGTCGTGATGTTTTGTGACGGTGTCTGTCATGTACCAAAGATGTACCAAAGTACATTAATCTTTTGTAGGCTCTACTCGGACAATACTGGTTAAGTGAGAGCTTATGGCGAACTGTCATCGGAACTGATTACCTCGAATGATATCGGTCATGGCGGTCCACTTTCTTCATTCTCATTCAACTTTGTCATTGGTATGCTTTTAGAGCCGAAACTTTCGTCGTCTGACTTCAGGAGTTGACGTTCTACGAGGAGATTCACTTGTTGACTTAAAATACGCAGATGACATAGTTCTGTTTGGGGAAGTCTGTGACATGACGCAGTCTTGTGTTCACCTTACGCAATAATGCAAGCATGTTCGGGTTGCGATACTCCTCTTTGGAAGTGCGAAATGTTTCAGCATTGGCTGGCATCAGCACCTGAATTAGTGATAGGGAACGAAGCAGTTGAGCGTGTTGACCGCCTCATTTATCTTAGTAGTCTCATCATTGCTGACGGCCTGGTGTCTGATATAATCTGAGCGCAGATGCAGAATGCTCGGCTGGCTTCCGTCAACTTGAGTCAGTTATGGCGTAGGCGAGATATCCGTCTCCTAATCAAAGGCCGAATCTAATTCTCAACAGTTTGCTTCGTCCTATTATACTGGTGTGAAACATAACCGCTAAGAGTAGAGGATATTCGTAATTTCCTAGTATTCGATCTTAGGTGTTTTCGAATCATTGCTCGTATATCCAGGAACAATCGAGTAAGCGATGCTGGTGTTAGGAAACGGGTACTATGGAAGTATGGCAAATCAGTAGGTCAAGTAGTGAGTCTTCATCAGTTGAGGTGGCTGAGACATGTGTTACGTTTGGTCAGTCATCGGCCACTCCGACGAGCGATGTTGTTTGATGTAGGGGGGTAGGCTGGAAGAAGGCTAGGAACAGACAAACAAAAACATGACACAAGTCCATGAAGTCGCTGACAAATGGACTAAGTCATGCTAGTAAGTGTAGACTACCTGATTGGGATCTGCTAGACGATGGTAACCGATGGTTCGGGACTTTGAATCATATGGCTCAAAATCGTTTGCTATTGTGCAGATTCATCCATTCTTTGTCTGCTCTCAAGAGATCGGAACCTTTTTCCTTATCCCTTTCCAGATTTATTTCACTGGTTTATACTTCTTGAATAATTTCTTCGACTCATAATCTTTCCCATTACCACTACAACTTCTACTACCTCTGGTACTATGGGATATGATCCGACAGTTGCACCTATGTGATAATGTGGTATGGTAACCTGAACTGTTGAGTGTACGTACAAAGTTCTTGGTTGTAGTTGACTGGCTCACTGACGTATGCATATAAAGCATTATCTGAGTTATTGTCAATGAAATTGCCTTTCATTTTGCAAATTATGCTATCTCTCAGCATTGGAAACTAAGTATCATTTGTTAGTAAATGCCTGCAGAAACAAGAAGTCAACATGCATCAACTAAAACAAATGAAAGGCAGAAATTATAGGGTAATATTTAGATCAATATATTGAGACTAGTTCAATCAATGTATCTACCCCATTGTCGTCAGTGCTGAGTTATGTATTTTAAGGTTTACAGCCATAGTTTATCATTATTTGATGTTTTCCAAAAAAAGGCAGTCTCCATATCTTGCCAGAGTGTAGTCGAATAGTTGGTTACTTTGAGAATTGATAATTTCTTAATGATTATCTTAAACATTTTCTAAGACAATTTTTATAGTTTTCGACAAAATATATCATAATAGGTGATGGTAAGATACTGGGGGAAAACACATGTCTAAACTGGTTAAGTCAAGTATCTTTCTTTTCTGGAACTGTTATGTACTTCATTTATGACGTTTATGGAGGAGTGGTAACGTTGTTTACACACTATTTATTCTCACTAGTCAAATTCTATTGATCTGGCTGCAATGTGGACACTCAGTCAGTCAGTCAGTCAGATGCCACTTAGGACTTCGTACGTAAGTACATCAGTTCATGTTGCCATACCTTGTCAGCACCGAGATATAATTGTCACTTCAAATCCAATAGTAGTAGAGGTAGTAAGGGAATTAGAAGTAATCGGAGAGGTTAGGGTTAGAAGATACTATTCAAGAACTATGATTCAGTGAGATAAGTTTAGAGAGTCGAAACTAGAGGTGTTGAAGAATCCAGAAGATTAGGGTGTGAGGGAACACAAAGAATAAGTGCACCGGCGCCATTGCGAACGATTTTGAGCCATGTCATCCAAGGTCTCTAACCATCGTTTATTATCATCTCGCGGACCCCAACCAGGTATTCGACAATTACCGACATGGCTCAGTCCACTAGTCAATGACTTCATGGATTTCTGCCATGTTTTGGTCTGGCCGCCCCTAACTTTCTTCCAACCTACTCCTACACTACAAAACAAAGCTCGTCGAGGCAGTCGGTGGTTCGGCATACGCAAGATATGTCCCAACCACCTCAACTGATGTGGACACTAGTCTAAGTGTGATGTAGTATCTCGACACATCTCTTTTTTCATTTTCATCAAACTAATTTTGTTTTACCATAACACTGCATCTCTGCTTGAATTAATTAATTAATTTGCTCCATTCAATAATCTACTACTATTTGTCTATCTCATATATCTACTTATTTATGTATAGTCGATGGTATCTGAAAACTGTAGCCGCTAGACAGAAAGGAAACACGTTGTTCTTTTCTACTACCAAAAGTATGCTTCACGGATTAATGCATTATTACAAGCTAAAATTCATTGGTAGTAGGATGTATATTAATCTTGTTACTATTAATCAATATGTCTCTTTGTTGACAAAGTATTATGGATATTCAGGTTGATGCATCTTCATGATCAATTAGATTGATGTGTAATTTTAATGAGAATTTCCGTTAGCACCGACATTTAACAGGTTCTTTGTGAGAATTAATTTTTTTTTTTACTGTTCTTTTTAAGTACTACTTAAATGTTAAACAAAAATAGACAGTAAAATAAGATTGAAATAGCAACCTACAATAAAATGTGTTTATGGCTTATGGGACATTGATTGATTG